ACTATTCTATGCTCATGATGCCCTGTGCTTTTAGAGCAATTGCGCAAACCCTTGGACTAATGGGGCGTAGCTTGGACTAATGGGGACCTCAAACCCTTGGACCGATGGGGTGTAGCCTGGACCAATACTCCCCAAACCCTTGGAGTGATGGGGCGAACCTTGGACTAAGGACCAAGCGAACATCTGCGAGGAGGACTTTGCTCAACAAACGCGCGACACCACAGTTTTAACAAGGCGAAGTGGAGAAAACCACACCGTCATAAACGTAACCGATAGTAGTAGTCGTCGTCGTCGTCGTCGTTGTTGTTGTTGTAGTCGTAGTAGTGGTAGCAGTAGCAGGAGGAGGAAGAGGCCCACCAGCTACAGAGTGTTGAGATCTGTGCCGGCAGGTAGTAAACAGTGACAGTAAAGAGAGACAGGAGGGGCCAAAGTTGATATTTTGTCCTTTCGGGATTCGTCTTTTCCATGCATTGAGCGACAATTGCAGGAGCCCCCCCGCCCTCTGCAGTTACAATGTGCAAGCACAAAGCAAGCAGGTGCGCTTAGCTTCTTAGCACGCCTCTCCCCAACATCCCCCCCGCCAACAGTAATTCTGAGCATTGTGACTTCTGTAGCCAGAAGCCTTTGCATCTGCTCTGTGTTGGCGTCGCTCGTCGCAGCGTGCATTAAGGCCCCGCTTCCCCACCGTTTTGCTCTCATGAACGTGTGATTTCGGCTTCTCGGGGAGTTGCCATGTTATCGGGTTTCCGATTGGAGCTGCTATTCGGCCATGGGCACAGGTGTGGGGCTCTCACGTGAAGAGTCGTCAGGCTCTTGAGGCAAAAGTTGAGCAACTGTCGCTTCTTTTGTCGCTTCTTTTAGGCCCTGGAGGTTGTGATCTTTTGAGTGTTGCTTTGGGTAAAGTGCTTGGTGCTCTTTGGAGCTCTCGGAGCGTTCTCTGGACTTACGCCGGCATCATAGACTTGCCCTTGAACCTCTAAGACGGGCTGAAGATGGCTGGAGTGTAGCAACAAACGTGACAGTACCAGCAACACTGCAGATCCACCTGCTTTTCCAATCTCTTGAGCTACGCAGGGGAATCGTTATCTAAGGCTCATTCTGCTGGCAGAGCACTCTCATTGTTTCAAAGAAGCGTTGCTTGAAAGCTCTGCTGGGACTTGTGAGGATGCCCGGATTCGAATCGTGATCTTTATCTGTTTGGAGCGCCGAAGTCGTATTCTCTTTTTCGGGAGCCGTTTCTCTGGGAACCTTCGTTGCATGGGGGTCTTGTTCCTCACCCCAAATCAATTCAAAAGGACAAGCGAGACAGAATGAGAGGTTTCTCTTGTTGAGCATGCAAAATTCGTTTATATATATATATATGCTGCCTCTTGTATCTTCATGTGGTTTGGTTGATCATGCAGGCAGATATGGAGCCATTCTGCCGTAATTCGGCCGTGGCCAGATATTTTGCAAAGCGCTTCCGCTATCGAGGTCAGCAAGCAGCATCTTAGAAGTGCATTCGTGAATGGTCCTGGTTTTGGCGTCCCTGTGGAGGGTTTTGGTAGTCGAGAATGCCAGCGTTCTCAGCGGTATGCACATGACTGTATCGTCTTGATGTCCGAGGTTTCTGCCTCGGATTCCTGCAGGAACCTGACAGACATTACCCTGCTCCTTTCCTCTCGTGTCCTGTTGTGCTTCGGGCTCACATTGGCCAAGCCGCTTGCACAACTGTCTGAAGGACTACTTGTACTGCATGGAGAACACGCCTGCCACCTATCAGGGAAATCAAAGGAGCGCACATGCCATGCTGAGGACATGCCATGGTGGCATGGTGTCACACTGAGGTGAGATGGCGCAAGCCTTCAGCCACTTTACCTTTGATCAATCCTATGGCGAGCTGCTGGTTGTGGACATTCAAGGAGTTCCGTCTGTGACGCCTGATGGCCGAACGGCATTGCATTTGACCGATCCACAGGCAGGGTTTCTGGCACGATGGGTTGGGTGCCTGCATCGTGTAATCTGACAGGTGCACAGTCGCCACAACAATTTCCCTTCCTTCGGTGATGCAGACTTAAAGGAAGCCGGCATTCGAAAGTTTTTTGCCACGCATCGCTGCAATCGAATCTGCAAGCTGTTAAAACTAAAGCGCGTGAGTGATTATGACTTCCTCCCGCCGCGTGTCACGATGCTCATCCCGGGAGTTTCGCACAAATTCTTCAGGGAGTTCTCACAGAAAACGCTACAGAAGGCTCGACAGCGGTACAATCTGGCCGACTCTCGACGGAGAATTTGCTGGGCACCTTTTTTGATGTGTCACTTACTTGTTGAAGCCCAAACATCTGCCGGGCTTTCAGCGTTGAGGACATTGTCTACCCAAATGAAATCATTGGGGACGAGCTGGAAGTGAAGCTTTGGGGCCGGCTGAAGAATACGACTCAGGCGGCAGAGGTGCCCATGCAGCCTTGCAAGGGCATGAGGTGGATCATGTGCCAAATATGTGCCAAGAACTTGTCCCTGTGCAAGATGCACAAACACTTTCTAGTGATTTTGTTGGCCCGCTGAAGCTGGTTTGCTGATTGGTTGTATTGTGGGCTAAGCTACCCACCTTGCAGTATTGATATGCGCTGCAAACATTGGAGCTGGAAGGCCGTACGCTGCCCTCACCAAGAAAGATTGAACTCAAGCCCTGGGAGTTTGGCTTAAGCCAGGATTGAGGGGAAGGAGCCAACAGCGCCTGGGGTGGAGGGTGGGTGGCTTGCTGGACCGTGGAAAATGCTGTTCCCAACAGCAGCACCTGCTGCATAGAAATGCAAATATGACGTTTTCAGGGCACCTGTCGAAGTACAATGAAAAGCTACCATCAGAATCTGGTTTTGAGTGTGTCCTCCTGTGTAGGATTTCATGAGAAGACTAGGGAGGATGTTTTGTAGTTGCTATTTTTTGTTGTGGGGTAGGCTGTGGTAGGGGCTGAGAAAATTGGGGAGGGAATCGGGATGCTTCTGTGGGATTCTGAATGCGCCGGAGAGAAGAGAAACAAGGCCAGGGGCTTTCAAGAGATGGCCAGATATTCGAGGAAATCTTGGTAGGGATTTCACAAAGCTGAACATTGATTTGAGACGCTGAGCACAGTCTGCAGGGACAGGAGCAAATTTGAGCAGGGAATCGAGAAAACCAAAGGCAGGGATGCCGCAGAGTTAGTGGTTGGGGACTTGAGATGAGCGGGTCAAGGCTTGAGCTACCCAAATTTTCCTCAAATCCAAAGGGCGATCTCCCCAAAGCACCTGGCCACTTTTCTCAAAAATTGTCCCAGTTTTTTGCAACTCCGAATCATATGCCTATCCTTAAAACAAATCTACAAAACAAGCTGAAATACCAAGAAAGGTGACCTTCTCAATTTCACTTGGTCTGACCACCCCAGTACGGCCCTTAACTATTCCTCTTGTTTCACGGGCATGAGCCTTGCGGCCTTGTCCTATAGATCAAGAAGAGACTTTGGCTCGGACAGGTGGTTGGGCCAGCTGTGCAGATGAGCCACAACACATGTTTGCCAGCTCTGCACGCAAGGGTCAGAGCAAGTCATCACTGATGGCTTTTGGATGTTTCTTGTGCAGGGAATCCGTTGTTCCCTGGAGCAGCTTCTTCATGAGCATTGTTATTTGCTGGCTTCTCAGGCAGGGTTCTCTGGGCGGTCACGGTGGAGGTAGCACATTATGCAGCAAGTCTACTTGAAGCCAGGCTGCCGGCTTCTATCTGCACTACCTTCAAGCATTGGCCCCTCCAGAAGTGCACGTGTTTGGCTGGCCGATGACAGGCGAACCGATGAAGCCACAGACAGAGGGAACCCCTTTACACACTAGACTGCGCACTCATGCCTGGAACATCTCTCGAACCCATTTCCTGGGTTTGGGTCCTTTTGCCCCACAGATAAATTCCTTAGCTGCCATGGACCAGGTGAAGGGCACAGCGGCAATGTTTGGGTCTATCCAGGCACAGAAGGACCAGCGATGGAAGCCAGAGTCTGGGAGAGTAGCCAGCGAAGTGGGTTGGGAAATTGATGGTGAGGATGTGAGAATCGGGCGTGTGCGATTTTCTCCTTCTGCCCTCATGAATGAATTAAATGTTCTGGCGGGCGTGGCCTTGTCAGTGCACAAGCCGGAAGTCTCGTGCAACAACGCGCCTTATCAACCCAAGCCATGACCCACTGTCCTGCTGACCCAGTGGCCTCTCGCCTCCAGTTCGACGAGCTAGAAGGAAAAGGACGATGGGGCCTACAAAGTAGGCCGCTGTCCTTGAAGTTTTAAATGAATCAAGCACAAGCCCGAGAAGGATGGACGTGCAGTAATCATTCTCTTGATGTTATGTTTTGGCGCGCCCAGCAAGCAAGGGGTGCATTTCAGTAGCCTTTAGCAAGAAGCTACATCCATCAATCGATGAAGGGAGGTTGAACTGACAAATTGTTCTCGTTTGGTATGGCGGCGCTTCATTTTCTTGTCTGCAGCTTATGGATTTGCTCGTCACTCTGTCTTCTTTGCTTGTCAGCTTTTGCTCCTACTACAGCGCTTTCGCCTGTTCCTTTTCTGTACAATAATCGAGACGCCGCCACAGCCGCACATTCTGCGTAGCGAAGCACTTTTTCCAAGCCTCCATTTCATGCCCCCTCAAAATCCCTCACTGTCATACAGCCACCAGTAGTTTAGTTCCTGGACCATGACTGGTATCAGTGTTGCGTGTTCGGGTATCACTTGCATGGACAAATCAGGCCTGTAAAGACCAGCTGAAACAGAGCACATCCTTCTCGGTCTCAGCTGCTTGAGAGGGCGGCGCTTTGGTTTTTATGCAGCCTGCGGCCTGAGGTCAGCGTTGGCAGCTGTTATGTGGCTCTCCAGGGCGGATTGTTACATGCGTCGGCCTTCGGCTGTCTTCTCTGGTTCAAGATCCGTCTTTCAACCAAGCGTCGCAGCAACATGGGAGAGAATCTGAGATCCTGCAGCCAGACACTGTCTCCTGTCACCGGCAAGGCGCTTGGCGCAGAGAGTGTGGATCGCATGTTGGCTCAAGCCTCACACTTGCACCTGTGCCTTCACAGCCTTGCACAGCACCCCCGTTCCTTGTTGTGTTTACGTTCTGCGCTGCAACGCGACTGAGGCTGAGACAAATCCGGGCAGTCCTACTGTTTGGGGCTTGAAATCCTCGGCGTGGAGCGTGTGTAGCCACTTGCATAGCTGACTGAGGTGCGCACCGTCTGACCCTTGAGTCAAACATTGAGGAGCAGGTGGCTGTCTGGCTTGGGCTTGTGCCGTCAGTAAGGTTTTACGCTTGACTGATGATCTGGCTTTGCGCCTTGACGCGGTTTGAGGGCAGACGCCTGCCCAGCTAAATGCTTCTCAAACCAAGGATTGAACAAACCAGAAGCTGCTTGGCTCGAGCACACAAAAACGCCACACAGCAGTCTCCACGGTGTCGTGCAGAGGCACTGATGGAGATGATCTCGCGCAGAAGATCATCGGAACGTGCAGTTCTTAGATCTGAAGGGACAAGCTGACAGAGAGTGCCAGCATCAGGTCCAGCGCAAGTTTCTTGGGTGCCGTCCTGCGGATGAACGAGTTGAGGCTGCTCACGGCGCTAGCAAAGACCCCTCAAAAGATCGGTCGCCACCGACAGGGAACAAGCACGTCTGACCCGCATTGCCAAGCAGGAGCTGCCCGGATGAATGAGGAATCACAGTGCTCCACAAGTGTTGAAGCCTGTTATGCATTCCTTGCCGAGGAAGGCTGACCTAAACCTTTCGCGAGGCCCTGCACCAATGAAGATGCTTCAGCATTCAGAGACGTCACGGCCTTGCCTGCACGGCTGACAACTGCTGATTTCGCTCCGTGCAGCCTTACCAGTACAATACTGGCGGATCAATGCGCCAGGTCGGTCAGCCTTTGGCGCGCACACACACAATCACACACACACGCAGACAACGGCCACTTAGCGTTCCAATGATCCGTCTAGCAAAACCCTGGTTTCCAGAAACATTGCAACCTGGTGTGGGGCTGTTCTGCAAAGCCTGTGTCCTGGTGGGAGAGAAGGGAGGAGCCCTTGTGCTTGCTTTATTCTCGGCATACTCTTTGCAAGTGTGCTTTGACATAGCTTCCTCTACTTCTTCTGGCCCATGCTGTCTGTTCTGGAACAAGGCATCGAAAGGATGGCGATGTGTCAGTAGTCTTGTCACTATTGGCTCTCATCCAGGAAATAGTTTTCTTTATACTGTGTCTTTTAGGTATGTTTTTGTTTTTTTGGGTTTCCTTTGTCCCAGGCATACTGCAAATTGCAGCATTTGGAGCTCTTGAAAAGCTGTCAGTGCCGCAAATTACAGTATTTGCAGGTAATCCAAGGCCATGCCCGCTGCAAATTGCAGCATTGGCGGTCCTGAAAGACGAGGAAGACGGTAAATGATAGTTTTCTTGAAGAGTTGGAATATTCTACAGAACATGGTTCCTTCACTGCCAGTATTGCTCTTTCCCTTTTCATTCATATCGGTATACTTTTTCATTCCATGTTTACTAGTGGCATTTGTATTAGTATTAGTATTAGTATGTGTATTCCCGTTTGTAGCATTGCTTTGCGGCTGTGTACTTCAAGAAACATCAAGATCATGCAAGTCACACAAAGGTTTGGCAATCAATTGCATGTTCTCATTTTTGTCCATATTTTGCAAATGGGGGGAGGGGTGCGCCATCCCCAACCACCCCCCGCTTTATTTTTGAACCAAATGCAACATTTGGCCAAGGCAACGCTTGGCCAGGGCAACACATGGCCTTGGCCAAACAGTGCTATCAAAATCCAGTCAGAACCTACTTGTTCTCATCATCGTGCATGCTTTGCAATTACTAGTATGCTGACTTCTTAATATATCGCTTGGGTTATTGCTATTCTTTTTGTTCAAGATCTCTTAGCAATGTGATTTTCTGCTATCTGTTTGCTACTAGTTAGTATGAATACTATCATTACTTTTTTTTAAAAGTATTGTTCCTGCAAAGATCATTGCTACTGTTCTTCCCAATAAATAGACATATGTAATCCTTCTTTTACTATTAGTACTACTAAGAATAAGACTAACTACTATCAATGTAGCCATTTTTGTGATTTTGCCTTTTTTCTTTACTGCCAGTACTTTTTGCCAGTATTACTTCCGTGGTTACGACTGCAGCTTTGATTCCTGCTGTTACCCCATGTGGTTCCAAGCGCTTTCGCTTAGTGTAAGTACTTTGGTGATGACGGTTAGACCAGGAGAACTGTCATAAGAAAAGTCAATATTCACTCAGAAGGAAGGTGTTATGTATGGTCATACTCATAGAAGTTATCAGAAGAGTAGTCTTATTTGAAATCAGATTCGATAAGACTCATAACCACACCAGTGATATCTATGCTCAAATGGATACTATGAATCCCAGCAACCAGTATAGCAAACACCGCAATGTAGCTTTAGCTATTCTGAATACTCTGGCTAGTTGGTACAATCGTCCTTATCGTTGTTGTTGTTCTTCTTCTTCTACTATCTTCTTCTTATACTCGTATCATCACTTGACCATTACTGTGACGGGGCTTTTTCATCATTATTAGTGTTAGTACCAATATTATTCGTTCGAAGCTTCTCATTATTGCTACTATCCCCATTATCACTCATACGTCTTCTCAATTTCGAACTGCCGTTCTCTTTGATTAGTATTGCAAGAAGTATGGTTTAATCCCATTTCTCTTCCTCTCATCACTATCATGTATTGAGCTCTCGCAGGCGCATCGTGACAGACTGGGCTCTCGCCTCGAGCTTTTTCTAATTTTGACACCAAATCGAGCTGCCGCGCAGAACGTCTTCAAATTTCGGCTCGAAATTGAGCTCCTGCGTGGAGCGTCCTCACATTTGGCCTACTGAATGCCAGAACCCCCGTGCCCCCCAAGAAGAAATCAACACTACTACCTAGATTAATCTTTGATCCCGCATACAATGTGTTTTTTTCTGCTGTAAACAGTGTCAGCGCAAACTCACCCTGATGATGCTGGAAAGCCTGAAATGTCAAGCTCGATGCATTCTAGCAAGTTGGAGCTGTTTGTCGAAAAGGTATACATGCTCAATGGACGTGTAGGGGCGCATCGCTCTCAAATCATGCAGTAGAAACATGTAGAAGCGTGTAGTTCGAATCTTCCGCTACATTTTCTTCCGTGGCAAACGGTTGGAAAATGTTAGTTCAGATTGCATTCCACCTAATGGCGGCAGTGCCTTGGGTTCTTGTGTTGTCCCAGTTTTCAGTTTTCTGCCACGGTTTAACGAGCAGCAAGCCTAGCACCATGTGGCCATCTGCAAACTACGAATGATTCTGCCAAGCTTCATTCATATTGCTGTGTATCAACTGTTTCCCTGCTCCCTTCTGCAGTCGCGTACGAGAGCATGTACGGTCTGAAGACGCGACGAGTAGAGGACACCGGAAGCAGATATGCACGCAGCACAGTTGGCAGATGGATCCGTTGCGAAGGCGGATGAACGGAGGTCTTCTCAGGCTGTGCGACCGTGTCTCAACTTGACTGATGTCCAGGAAACAACAAGTTTGTGCAGAACCTACGCAACATGTGGGACTGTATGCATGCAGCCGTTTCAGCAGCGAAACTTGGGTTTGATAAGTGCGCCGTCTCCCATGGAAACGGATGCAGTTCAGTAAAATTTGCAATCTGCAATGACATTGTGCAGTCCTGTGCTAGCAAGGCGCTTCACTCGATATGGAAAACGAGCACGAGGCTCATGTCTTTTTTTCGACAGAAAGATATGTAGAACTCAAGGCCTCCGGATGTCTAGCAAACCAGATGGAGTCACGTTGGGTGCGCGACGTCTCAGGGGATAACACGAAGACTTGGGCCACGTTGCAACGAAGCCGGCACCGCCGAACGGACAGCTCGATCTGTGGGCACCAAGGAGCTGGAAGGATGGATTCAACTATGACGCTGAAACTATTGATTTTGAGCCGGAAGAATTCACGTGATTCGAGAGCTCAGCTCACTTTTTTAACTGGATGGCTGCCCTCCCTTGCCTTGAGGATTTGGTTCCCTTCTCTTTCTAGTACCGGACCCTTGTCTATACAAAGATGCTCCACATCAGAAAGAAAGGCTGCCGTCTTCGTGGCTGGACGAATCCTGTCAGACCTATGTGCGAAGAAAAAACTGGCCGGAGATGAAGATAGGATTGCAAGATACCATTGCCCTTGAATGAGGCATGGTTAAGGCTGAAGGCTATTTCCCACTACTATGTCGAAAAGATGCCTGCGGAGGTGCGCTCCTCTAGGCGTCTTTCCGGGCTTGCTGGCAACCCAGTAGAAGCTTCTTGGGTGTTATCGGGAACTGCGATGAGCTTTGGTGATGCGGTAGGTTGTCAAATTATGGTACCTGTTTTGTCCCCATTATAGTCTGGGCCTGATATTGAGGGTACCCCCCAAAAAGGGAACATGGTTTTGATAGTTTCCGATGTGCTGAGGCGTATGATGCAAGCGGCCGACGGTTGTCGCGCCGCTCCCTTCAATCTGCTGTGGCCTTGGTTTCAGACAAATGAATTTGCACATGGTGTCGATAGGTTTTTGATCTCAGATTCTTTGGAAAGCACTAGATTCCAAGTAATGCTTGCAGGCAGAGGAGGAGGTGAGGTGCTCTGATGATATTTCCCTGCTGCCCCGCCCTGTTACCGCACATGCTTGTAAGTGCGCTGCTGGTCGCAGGAGCTTCTGGAAACTGATGATGAAGATGAGCTTGCAGAGTCCTTCCGCAAGTGCTCCTGCCTGACCTTGTTAAAGTAACTTCCATTGCAATTGCTCGTGCGAACTGATTTGGAACCGGCCAGGTTTGACAAGTGGACCGCCAAGCACTTGCGACGAAGGCAGGTTTCTATTCCAGCAATGCTCCAGCACGCGGCCATACCAGCCAGTCAGGATCAGGAGGCGGCCAAAGTTTGTGGCGCCAATCTCGCAACGTCCAGGACAGTCAAGTCCATGACATGTCATTCGCTGTTAGAGCCCTGTGCATTCCTTGCCAGTGCTGGACATGAGCTTGGTGGGCCTTCACGGCTGAGAAGCGGGTTTGGTTCCAGCAGCAGCGGTTGTCAAACAACAGCAGCTGATGAGATCATGTTTAGCTTCGCTTTTCTCGCTCTCCTGTGTGGGAGTGGGTTGGTTTTGCAGTTTTGGCCCGTGGGCTCCAAAGGAGCCTGGCGGGTGTTGAGATTAGCCGGCCTGCATGTGAAGCATGTCGCCATTTTTTTTTTGAATTTTGGAGGTGTTCTAGTTGCTTTTTAGTAGAAAACCGCATGTGCAGGCACCGGAGTTCAATGCTTAAGTAGGCCTGATACAGTCACCGCTTCCAAGCTAGTCATGCTGTTTTGAATCAGAGTCGCAGCGGTCAATGGCTGGGCCAGTATCATCCAACAGCCCTGCAAACTTTGCAGCAAGCCTTGATTGCTAGCTAGAAACACCTTGGAAGCTCCAAAGCTCCAACCGACATCAAACACTCTGACGATAAGCAGAGATCTATAGCACATCCCCCTCAAGTTCTCTGGCATCGCACAAGATGGCCTCACGTGCGGATGGGCGAGATCAGGTCGATGTCATCAGTGACGCTTTGCGTATATGTGTTGTACATTGTTGTGCACGAGTAGGCTGCTCAGCTGTGTTGAGAGCGTTGTAAGGGCTAATTTCGTCTCCAAGAACCTTCAGAACAACACAGTGGCACGGGAAGAGCTTCCTCCTGGCTGGAAGCGTGTCGAGTCCAGGACAAAGCCAGGCCTGCAGAGTGTTTTGAACGTGACGCTGTCAGTGACGTGTGAGTCTTTGTGTCCGTGCTTCATTGTGCTTCGCTGTGCTTCATAGTAGCGAGGTACGTACTACTATGCGCATCCCTCGACCAACCGCACACAGGCCCCAGCATCCTTGCCTTTTTCATGTTTGTGTGCCGCAGCAGGCAGTACATACGCATGGCTTTGACGTGCGATTTTTGATGAGCACCAGGTGAATCCACCACAAGGAACCAAGCAAGTGTCCGCGGGTGCATCCAACGGCACGCAGCAAGCAGAGCCTTTGGCATCAACAATGGAGCAATGTGTCTGAGAATGGCACAGTACTCCCGCAACAAGTGTGGCCGATCTTGATTGATGCTGAACAGGAAATGGCGGCAGATGGAAGTGTGCCCAAAAAAGATAACCAGGAAGATAAAGAAGAGCGCAAGCGCAAGCATCAGCAAGTGGAAGAAGAAGCAGAAGCTGAACAGGAACTGGGAGCATTTGGCAGGTTTAGAATTGAGTACCTACGCTGATGTCTTATGATGGGCAACTCTGACACATGTGCGCCACGTTGAGCATGTTGCTGCATATTCGCAGAAAACGTGTAGGAGATGGTCGAAGAAGAATTAAGGCGAATCAAGGCAGCCAAGAAGGTCGGTTCATGATCTGCATCGTTTGTCGGCAAAAATAGATTTCTTTGTGGAGGGACAAGGCCATTTTTGATTGCCCCGCTTGAAGCCATGCAGGCAAAAGAGCTCGAGCTGAAACGCAAGAAGGAAGAGGAGCTCAGATTAGAGCGCCTTCGTAAAGAGGAGGAGGCTAGGTTGGAGAAGGAGCGCTTGCAGCGAGAAGCAGAAGAACGCAAGCGACAGATTCTTGCCTGCATGCTGCAACCTCTTTTTGTTAGGGGATTCTGCTGAGGATTCTGTGCGCACGGATGTTTGGACGAAAGGTACTATGACTTGTGCATACGCTTTACTCACACGTGCTCTCAGGCAGGAGCTGGAGGCTCTGGCAGAGGAACGTCGAAAACGGGAGGCAGAAGCCAGGAAGAAGGCCAAACATGTTTCATGAGACGGAGGAACACGGAGGAAGCTTTGGAATGGTTGAGAAGTTCTTTTGCCATGGTGTTGGACGCGCAGTAGCATCCTTGAGATAACGCCCCGACTGCCTGAGCCCAACAAGCTCCCGTGTGGAGATGGTTCTGATTCAGATATTTTGTGATACCGTGACTTCTCCCTACTTCAGCAGACCATGGTTCAATGGATGACATGTTTTAGTGTGCTGGCTGGCCGCGCCATGCAGGATCAGGAAGCGCAGCGAAGAAAGGTCACCTGCACATTGCTTCACCCGCTCCAGCTCCAGAGAACTCTTCAGCCAATGAAGAAAGTGTAATCCTTGGTTGTTCTGGCAGGCAATGGTTTTCGAGCAGCATTCCATTCTGCAGCGAAAGCTAGCAGAGGATGCCAGAAAGCGGCAAGCAGAAGAAGAGGAGAAACGAAAGAAAGCCGCTGAACAAAAAAAGGAAGAAAAACAAGAGGAGAAGCAAGAGGAAAATCAGGAGGAGAAGCAGCAGGAGAAGCAGCAGGAGAAGCAGCAGGAGAAGCAGCAGGAGAAGCAGCAGGAAAAGCAGCAGGATAGTAAGGAGCACCGACATGACTTCAGCTAGCCTAGTGTATTCGATTCATGTTCGTCAGGCTGGCTAAGCAGATCGCGGTGCACATGCGCAGGCGTCTCCTACGGAGGAGGATGAGCAAACGCGGAGAGAGAAGGTGGCAAAGCGAGAAGTCAAGGCAGTAAGCTTTTGGCTGTTACCTTTTCATTGTTTCATATCGCTCTGTGTAGAGTGGCACTCTTGTGAATGTTCCATCCTCGCACGCTGAGCACTGGAAACTGCCTGTGCTGGTATGGCGCAGGTTTGGACTCAGCAGATTCCAGACCCTGTAGACCCTGTTCTTGAGCCTTGCTTCGATGTGTACAAGAATGGAAAGCTATTGCGCACTCACCGTCTCGCCGGTGAAAAGACAAGCTGGATAATAGGCCAGACGAATGCTGAAAGTGTGAGCAGCCGCTACCCGTCTAAGAAGCTTCCGGGAGCATTCAACTCCCAACAGGCCGAGGGCCAGCTGGAGTAGACATTGCCATTGCGAACAGCCGCATTTCAAGGAAACACGTTGCTGGGCCGCGTTGGGAGTGTTTTGCTGCTTCCTTTGCCTTTGTCCATGTCTAGAGTCCAGAGTGTATTGCTTGATGTTCCTGAGGCCGAAATTTCTTGTCAGACCCCACTGATGTTTTTGACTGACCTGGGTTCAACATATGGATCAGCCTCCTTGCAGCAATTTGGCAAGCTCTGTGCTGGGACCCTGCCTGATATGCAGATAATCATCTTTTTCAGAAGGCAATGAATGCCGAGAACTTGGAAAAGAATCAGCCGGTTGAGTTGGTTGATGGCGCCAGGCAAGGGCCAGCTCGGCGGTTACAGTTGGTCCAAAGTTGCTAAAGATGCTGCTTGAGCAGGTTCCGCTTTGGCGGCTTGCCGGAGCTTTTCGTGTACCGTGAGCCCCCTGCAGCGGAAGAAGAGGCCGAGGAGCCCTCCTCGCCTCCTGTTGTTGCTGAGGCCTTGTAAGCGAAACAAAGGGACCTTCGAAGGTTTGCAGACTTGACCAACTGGAGAGGTTTCGGGCATGGCCACCGCAGAAGATGGCCCGGACTTGCCACAGGTGCACGGCAGCTGCAGAAAGCAATCGTGATTTCCATGGCCTGGAGGTCCCGCAGGAAGTTGCCCCGGCACCGGCGATTGACCCTGAGGCGGCAGCAGCGGCTTCCGCCGCAGCGCGGGCTGCGGCGGAAGCCGAAGATGAAGCGCGTGTGCGGCGCATCCAGCAGAAACGACAGGAGCGCACCCTTTTGGGGTTCGCAATGCAGACTTGCTTTATAACTTGAGCCAAGCAAGGAGCGAAAAGCAGCTCAAGAGGCTGAGAAAGCTGTGGCCGCAGCAAAGAAAGAGGAGGAGAAAAAGAAAAAACAGGACAGCATGGGAAAGATGGATTTTGCTTTTGGGCTGTCAGAGGTGGGACTTAGCAAGACAGGAGCGCGTCCAGAAAAAGCGCGCGGCCAAGGAAGCGAAGGCTGCCAAGCGATCTGCCCGAGCTGCAGCCGCCAAATCAGCAGCTGCCACAGGATCGAGACTTCTTAACGATTTCTGAAATTTTGAGGTAGTTTGGCAGCTCAGCTGTATGGAGCAGGATCGATGTTGAACCAGGGTGATGCGACTCCTCCGGATGCAGCCCTGCCGGATGCGGCCATGGCCTCTCCGCAAGATCAATCCCCGCCTGCCAGTCCGAAGAATGAGGACGGCTGCATTTCATTGTACATCCCCATGCGCCCATGGACATGCTGCTTATGAAGAGGCGGCTGAGGACTCCGCTGATGACGAAGCAGCCGAGGAGTGTTTGCCTGACAGTTGCTGCAGGCTGTGCGTGCACTTTGATATATCATTTGCCAGGAGGGTGGTGAGAAATCAGTTGATTGCTCCTTCTTTTGACGAGGGTAGAGCCCTGATTTGAGCTGTTGCTGTTGAAATGTCGTCTCAAGATTTTGACTCATGTGTTTGGAGGTCTGAAGGCAGTTCGCGCAAACGGACTGCGGCCTGGCAAGGCATGGGTGTGCCGCGGCATCACCGCGGAAAACCTGTGTGCCACATCTGCTGCAAAAAGGACATCTCGGAGTTAAAGAATAACTCGCTGGGTGGGGGGGGGGGCGGGACGACCAAAAAAACTTACGTTGTCAGATGTGCAACATTAAGATATTGTGGAGGCCAGTGAGAAGCTCCAATCTTCAATCACGCATATCCGTTTTGACACGTTGTTGTGCAGTGTATATGGTCTACAGGCACAATAGCTGGGCTTCCTGACCGGACAGCAAGCAGCTGTTGGAGGAGATCAAACATTCTAGACTTTAAACACCAGACTAGCTTCCAATGTGAAATTGGCATGACGCCATTTGGAAGTTGGGTGATAAACCTCGTGCATGTTCTCTCGAAAAGTGCAAAGCTCCGCGAACTTCACGAACCGAACAGGGTTTTTGCGATGGCCTTGGCTGCCCGGGAAGAAGTTCAACCAGGCCAGAGTCTTGGTCAGTGTTTGCAGGAGTCGGCCCTTGGAAGTTTAGGCTGCATTATGCTTGAGGAACTTGATGCATTGGCTTATGGCTCGACGAGGGAACTTGCAGTGTCGCCGCGCCCCACCATTGCCGGCCATGGCTGCTCCAGACCTCCTTTGGGAATGCGTGAAGCCGTGCCCTCAGTGTAGAAGTCTTTAGGAAACGTTTGGGGGATGCTGATCCTAGGAACAATTCGGCGTTCATCCGCAAGAACAAGAATGTTCCCACCATGACCGCTGAGCCAGGACACGGGATTGACTAAGCTTGGTTCGACAATGCACTTAATGCCGAACCGCACTTTTTGCAGGAAACTTGACCGGCTTGAACTCCTTCAAGCAAGCCACTGAGACAGCTGGGCAAGCTTGCATGCGGGCATCCAACTTGATACCAAGGTACAGTTCGCTGGCTGCCAAGCAGGTCTTGGGTTTGGATGCCAAGAAGGTGGGCAAGAAGGCCTGCATGGCTCCTGCACTTCTGCACTTCTGCACTCGGGCTGTGCTGGAGCTAGATGGGCCTATGATTCGGCAAGTGCACCCATCATTGTTTGAAGCGTTGCGCCATGGGGTAGGTTGTGCACTTAACATTGTTGCTTGCAGTGGGCTTGTGTTGTGGTCGACCGTTATTGGACAACTCTGCAAAGTGCGTAAAGCATCATGCTGAGCTGCAAAGATGGAAGCTCGTGCCAGGAGTCCATTGTCCTCACCACCCGCAGCAAGAGGGCGAGCAGGCAGCAGCGGCCTGGCACAGTGCTGACCACCACAGGAATCAAGAAAGGCCGGCCAAACCAAGAAGTCAAGCGTAGACTGAATTATGGGTGTCTTATGGAAGTTCCACGTCCGGCCAGGCAAGAAGAAGGGCCCTGAGCAGCTGAAGAAGGCATGGGTTCGCGGGTACAAACCGAATGGCCACATGTCTTTGTGTTAAACTCGGCAGATCATTGCAGCGACCTACAACCGTCCAGAGTTGCTGGAGATGGCCTTGGTCAAGCCAGCCGCCTTAGTTGCTTCGGTATGCACCAGTAGTGACGTATAGTCCTGGGCTGGCACCTCAGGTACAGCAAGATCAAGCGGTCCTTCAAGAAGAAGGTGGCCCTGCAGCCCGCGCCTCGAACAAACGTCCCCAGGTAAGGTTCACGTCGGTCACCAACAGCTTTGTGGATATTCAGGTCCGTGCGCGGCAGGAAGTGAGCGAAGCTGTCAGAGAACTGGTCATGCAGATAGGACACACGAAAGGGCACAGCGCGACACAAAAAGAACGTAATGTGGTGCAACACTGCGTGCCTTCAACAAATTTCAAAAGCCTAGCTCAGGTCATGCCCGGCGTGTTTGGCGACAGCACGTGCTGCTGCAGTAGCACGCTCACTGCTGATGTCCCCTGATGTCTAGCACAGCTGTCGTGCTTCTCTTGACACGTGTTGGCCTGCTGGAGCAAAAAGACTTTACCGACCGGCAATGGTTTCGTCCCGACAGTTTTGGAAGGGATTGCCTGCAGGGGCAGGCCGTGGTAGGCAGCATGTGATCAACAAAAATGTCCGCCGCCGTTGTAGGATCAGAATTGGCTCATGACCAGCTGCTTGCGTCGTGCTCTTTCTTTACGACATGGTCAACACCTCAGACTCGGCCTTGACAGTCTACATGTTGCAGAGCAGCTTTGCTGATGTGCCAGGCAGAACCCACCTCGCCCGTGAACCAGGTGGGCTCATCGGGCAACAAACAGGCAGTAGTTGGACAAGAAGTAGACGGAAATAAATCAGTTGTGCCAGAGCTGTACAGTTGCACGGCGTGAGGGTGGCGAGCCACCCGCAGCATACAGAATTCGTTGAAAGCATTTGCAAGGGCAAATGGATCGAGAGCTCAGAGAAGAACATGATGCAGGCTTAAACCTTCGGGCGACCCTGTCTGAAATCAGTTCAAGTTGGCCAAATGTCGTAACGTAATAGCTTGACAGGCTCGGAACCTCATCCGTGACATGCTCACCGTTGTCCGCAACAACGAGGTTGTCGAGGTGCGTCGCTTTGTGTCTTCTCTTCGCATGGACTCGAAATTGCTCGGTGTTTCGATAGTGGGCTTACATGACTGGGCTGCAGGCTTCCAACAAGGCTGCTATGCAAGAAGCAGTGCGGCCCCCATAGCCCATGGCGTGCTTGTGCTGTGCTTTGCAAATGAAATCCCAGCACAGGATAAACGAGAGAAAGAGGCGAAGAAGGCTGTGGTGTTCAGCAAGGCCAGGCAATCATAAACTCGCAGAAAGGCACATGTTGTTCATTTGGGCAGGCTGCAGCCCACGAGAAGGTCATCGCCACATCTTTCAAGTGCATGCAGGAGACATAAACTCCAGGGATTGATCAGATTTCATCCTTAAACAGGCACCTGTCCAACCCCCACTCCCTGCGCACGGCATAAGGACATAGCTGTAGCTGACTTGGTGCAGAGCACCTCTTTGCTTCCGAGCCTCCCTAACGTTGCTGAAGGATATCGAGGATGGCATTCTCCAGACTGAGGACCCTGTCATTAGGGCTGAAGGTGTGTGCATTTGGCAGCCGGCAGTGGGCCAGGACAGCCTGAGCAAGCTCACGCACGAGCGGTACAGGGGCTTCGCTTATCTCCAGGTGCACGTCCAGCCCATCATCCCCAACGCTCAGCATGTTCCCGCATTTCTAGGTTTGTGAACGTCGCCTTGAACTCCGACAAAAGCGGCCAGCCGCAGAAATGTTCAAAGATGCCGGCATCCAAGCACCAAGGCTGTGCTTCTTGTTCTTTAATGGCTTACGCTTAGAGGTTTTTTTTTTTTTTTTTCCCGCTACTCAGGCGTTGACAGACGTTTGCATCTCAGGTTGTGTGCAGCTTGACAGTTTTCACATTGTCATTACCATTATCGTGCAATTTGCACAAGGCTTTGACTTCCGAGAAGCAGGCCTTAGAAGCAGCCCGGAAGGAGATCCATGCATTTGCGATCTTGCTTTGTGTGTTTTGTTTCATCTTAAAATGGAATTTTGATATCTCCCCTGCATCGAAAACATTTCACATACTTCACATATTTCACAACTGAAACAAATCCAAGTGACGGCGTTGAGGAGCTTCTGGAGCTTGAGGAGCAGGGGAAGAAAATTGTAGGTGAGTTGAGGCAACTTGTGGTCCGAACTACCTGCCGCGTTGCCAGTTTTAGAATCGATTTGCTGACATGCTCGAGGGACAAGCGGAAGTTCCTCTCAGAGGACACAGGGATCCGGCACGCCCCTTTTCCAGCGCGACAGTTCATTGCACACACCATGTCCTGATAGAAGTGAACCCTCAGGCGTTTGCAGATGATGGAGGATCTAAAGACTCTGTCGTCGGGCTCCTAAAACGAGTTAAACTTATGACTTTTGCATTGACCGGCAGCCCGTCAGCACTACTTTCTGTAGGCCACAGGTGGCGCTTCCACCTGTCAAGGCAGGGCGTGTGCAAAGCGTGTTCCTCGCTGGCCTACCTGATTCCCTTTGCCAGGGAAGCTCGAGTCCCAAGAGCAACAAGGAGCAAAAAGAGGAAAAAAAGGAAGAAAACACTGCAGACTCGGCGCAAGCAGAGAAGACCGAGCAAGCGGCAGAGTCGCAAGAGGTGTGCCTTTGCTACACCAGGCCCCCAGAAACAAGTGCAATGCAACTGCGAGGCAACAGCTGAGAGGCCAGCTACAGCACCGTCGCATGTCATGACCCCGGAGGCACGACACGGCCACCAATTTCAAAATGCTGGTGTGATGCTTGGTTTGCTCCAGGAGCAGAAGAAAGCTGAGCAGGCTTCAAAAGAGCTCATCGCGGACCGATGGGTCTAAGGGATTCATGGGAGGCTCAGGTGCCCAGTCGAATGGGTTTTGTCTAGGACACTTTGAAGTTGTTGGAGAAGACCAGCTGTCATCGCAACAAGAGTCTCGAGACAGTCTTCAAGGTCAAGCAGGACCATGTGCTTGTCCTGTTGTGCGCTGCGTTGAGCAAGAACCTTTGAAAAGGACACCTCGCGGGCTAATCATCGATCAGAAGACTGCCTTTCCAGGCTTTGATTTGGTTGGATTTTTTTGAGCCTAGGAGCCATTGTGCTGCTAAGTCGTCAGGGTTAACATGCGCGCAACTCCAAATGTCAGGCGGACAGCTGAGCTGGCGGAGATGAAAAAGCAGCTGGAGAAACATGCCCTCGATGTCGAGGTGCTAACGTATTGTCTGCTTTCAGCGGCTTCGCAGGATGTAAAGACTATTGCAGCTGATCTTGAAGTCGGCTTCTACCACAAAGATCGCGGTGTCAGGCGGCCATTCTCCGAGCAGAGCGTTCTCTGGAACGCACGGAGAGGAGGCGATATGTTGGCTTGCATGGTGAAGGTCATGGAATGTAGCTGCCAGGCTAGATGTCAAGGATAACAAAAAGGTGGAGAAGTTCAACCAGGCCAGGGTCTTGGTCAGTGTTTGCAGGAGTCGGCCCTTGGAAGGTTAGGCTGCATTATGCTTGAGGAACTTGATGCATTGGCTTATGGCTCGACGAGGGAACTTGCAGTGTCGCCGCGCCCCACCGTTGCCGGCCATGGCTGCTCCAGACCTCCTTTGGGAATGCGTGAAGCCGTGCCCTCAGCGTAGAAGTGGCTAGGATATGTTTGGGGGATGCTGATCCTAGGAACAACTCGGCGTTCATCCGCAAGAACAAGAATGTTCCCACCATGACCGCTGAGCCAGGACACGGGATTGACGAAAACTTGGTGAGACAATGCGCTTAATGCCGAACACCACTTTTTGCAGGAAACTTGACTGGCTTGAACTCCTTCAAGCAAGCCACTGAGACAGCTGGGCAAGCTTGCATGCGGGCATCCAACTTGATACCAAGGTACAGTTCGCTGGCTGCCAAGCAGGTCTTGGGTTTGGATGCCAAGAAGGTGGGCAAGAAGGCCTGCATGGCTCCTGCACTTCTGCACTTCTGCACTCGGGCAAGTGCACCCATCATTGTTTGAAGCGTTGCGCCATGGGGTAGGTTGTGCACTTAACATTGTTGCTTGCAGCGGGCTTGTGTTGTGGTCGACCGTTATTGGACAACTCTGCAAAATGCGTAAAGCATCATGCTGAGCTGCAAAGATGGAAGCTCGTGCCAGGAGTCCATTGTCCTCACCACCCGCAGCAAGAGGGCGAGCAGGCAGCAGCGGCCTGGCACAGTGTTGACCACCACAGGAATCAAGAAAGGCCGGCCAAACCAAGAAGTCAAGCGTAGACTGAATTATGGGTGTCTTATGGAAATTCCACGTCCAGCCAGGCAAGAAGAAGGGCCCTGAGCAGCTGAAGAAGGCATGGGTTCGCGGGTACAAACCGAATGGCCACATGTCTTTGTGTTAAACTCGGCAGATCATTGCAGCGACCTACAACCGTCCAGAGTTGCTGGAGATGGCCTTGGTCAAGCCAGCCGCCTTAGTTGCTTCGGTATGCACCAGTAGTGACGTGTAGTCCTGGGCTGGCACCTCAGGTACAGCAAGATCAAGCGGTCCTTCAAGAAGAAGGTGGCCCTGCAGCCCGCGCCTCGAACAAGCGTCGTCATACCTCGAGGAAGGGCGAGAGACGAGACTCAAGAGCATCCTCCTTCTGAAAGGTCGGTTCGCGGCCGGAAGTGAGAACTGAGCATTGTCGGCGGTGGCACAAAAAACAGCATTTGCTGCCATGGACTTGTACCGTTGCCGAGCGTTTTGCTCACTTGCAGAGGCACTTGTGAGCGATGGGATTCTGGCCTCAAACCCGCAAAGGACAGAACTATGCTGGAGAACCTGCGCGGAATTCGTGACCGTTTGGGAGAAGACATCCGAAACAAGTGCTCGCCTTGATTTTGCAGTTTTTGTGAAGCTTTTGCAAGACTGCATGATGGCTAAGCAGAATTGAGAGCTTCAGCACGGAAAAGTGATGGCACCGCCGCTGCATTCTGCGCTTGTCAATCCAGCACAGCAGTAAGACATCCCAAACAGGGCAAAAAGTTTAGCCTAAGCGAGCGGAGCGGACTGATTCCAAATTCTGCCTTTGCTGCCCTTCTTGGTTGTGATTCTTCTCGTCCACGTGACAAGTTGACTTTTCCTGCCGCTCTCGATGTTCTTTTGGCTGACTCTTGGTCAGAGCTGGCTTGAAGAAGCTGTGAGTTGTTGTTACTGTGGGTATAGCCAGCATGGAGTTAAAAGTTCCGGACATAAAAAAGCGATTTCTCCGCGGGGAGAGCAGGGTTGATGTGTTTCATGATGTTTGCATCGTCCAAATGCTTCGGTTCGACAACAACGTGGTAGCTCAGTAGCGTCTTTATGCATGAAGCCTTTCTTAAAGTCCTGCTTGGCAGAGAGAGCGTTGATTAAATACTGGAAAACATGTGTAGACTGAATAGGGACGTGACATGTACACTGAGATGCTGAGTGACAAGAATGGGATGAGGGTTGGTCGGAATTCATTGCTGCTGGAGATGGTTGCTCATTTTTTCTGAGCTGGATTGTACAGCTCCAGCTGAGTTAGCAATAACTAAGATTGAGATGGACAAGTGAGTGTCCGACCACAGGGTTGCGCCTAAGTTGGGAATTCATGACTCCCCGATTTGCTGGTGCAACAGCTGCCACAAATGTGCTGAGAGCGGCACCGCACCCCTGCAAAGTGCATCAGACAAATCTCTGCTGAAGTTTTGGGATTTTGCAGGTCGAAGTGAACATGACCTTTGCTTCTGAACATAAGGTCCAGAGCAATTTTTTTTCACCAGAAGCGTTGCAAGACGAGACCCACAGCATCATGAGGGTTGTGGCCAGCAAAACATGTCCGATGGCACGGCTTTTGGAAGCTATTCTGCCAGTGCTGAAAAGTGTGCATGGTGCCGGCACAAGGCTCCTCCGTTCCCAGGTGATTTGCAACTGTTTATGAAAGAAATCATGTTTGCAAAGGCTCTGTGTTGGACGCGCTGTTGGAATTGTCGTGTTCGATCTTTCTGCATGATTTGCAAGGGCTGGCGGGGCTCCCCACCAGCACCCCTCTCCGTTCACCACCCGATTCCCCCCATGACCCATGACCCTTCCCAGGTTGGCTGCATTTTCTTGTAGGACCGAACCCAATCCGAAGGCTCGCCGTGGGCTGCCTTCTGGAAATTTTCCCTTCTGTGCCGCTTCAGAAAGATGGATCCCTCCGGCTGACATTTGTGCATCTGATCAAATTACGGCTGATGCTTTGTAAAAACAAAAAACGTTGCGCATATCCGTCATGCAGTGGTTCATCTCGTATACCCTTCAAGGTATTTTTCAATATGTGTATGTTAAAACAACGTTTTCAATACCCAGCCGTTGCTTGTTTGGGTAGAACACAAGCCGCTTTGGGACACGGGGACCACGGAGGTCAAGCTTCTTGTTTCCGCAGCGTTTCAATCGTGAATGCTGAGCTTGGACTTCTGATGGACGAAAGCCTCCATCGATTTGGGACCATCCCGTTGGGGAATGTTTGAGGTATGTTATTGGTAAACCATTGTGTGAGACAAAAAATTGCCAGTAGAATTTGCCAGAATGTGGCAATAATGTTGTGGGAATTTCCTGAAAGATAATGCGCACGTGTGCAGAGATAATAGAGGATACTTGCATGCGTCGCGAAACAAATCTGTAGCCAATAGCTTCGAATTGGATTCGAAATGGGCTTTGGATTCCCGTGGCGCCAAGTTGCAGGGCGCACGATGGCTCGAGTTTTCGCAAACATTGCACGTACATATTTGAATACGTAGGTTCCACCATCCAAACCAAGTCCTCCAAGGCATGGGAGATAAAAAAACATTAAAAAAATATGCCATCGAATCAGTACTTGAAAGGACAAAGACTCTTGCCATGAAGGTCCATCTTGGTGATGTTCTTTTTGCCGAGCAAGGTTGGTGCGGAAAATGTCGCTGACAGAACGAAGCAACTGTTGGGGATGCGTATCGATTGTTTTTTCCGGATCAAATTTTTCCGTATCAAACCATTTGTTTCAGGATGAACAAAATTTGTCGTTTGGAATATAGACAGGAGGCAACAGGGTGAGTAAGGCAGAAGTTAGGAAGGAAAGAAGGAAGGCGGCAGGAAGGGGTGAAGGAAGGAAGGAAGGAAGGAAGGAAGGAAGGACGGAACGAATGAAGGAAGGAGGGAGGGAGGGAGAAAGGGCGCGCTTCCCGCCTCCCCAAGAATTTTGTCTTTTAAAGCCATCCGTTCTTCTGCTAAGAAGATGTCATCACCATGTTTGCGGTGGGCGAAGGTTGCGCAGATCATTTTGTTTGCAAAGTGTCTGGGGCTCCCACCCCCAACTCCCAACCCACCCGTTTCTTTCAAGCCATCCATGCTCACTCCAAAAAAATCGTGTCATGACCATGCTTGCCCCACCAACCCCCCGGGCTTTTGAAAGCCATCCATGCTTGCAATAACAAAAAAGCATCGATTCATTGCCATGTTTGTCTTCCGACGTGGCAGCGCTCCTGGGCCCACCGGCCTTCGGGGCGATCACCTTGGAGAGACCTTGCAGTCGGCGCACGGCGACGAGGTCGCTGCCAACCTTGCCTTAGTTGCGCAGTTGCTTGTGCGAGGGCAGGCGCCCCTTGAGCTTGCCCCTCACCTTGCCGGGGCTTCCCTGCATGCCCTGCCCAAATCGGGGTGTGATGTCCGGCCCATCGCTGTTGGCGAGTGCTTGCGCCGCCTGGCCTCCAAATGCCTCTGTGCTGCCGTCAGGGATGCAGCTCGTGAGTACCTCGCCCCACTGCAGCTTGGGGTGGCGGTGTCTCACGGCATCGAGGCGACCGTCCACGTGGCCCGGCACTGGGCTCACCGTCACTCCAGCCACCCCAACACCTGTTTCCTGACTGTGGACTTTGCAAATGCTTTCAATCAACAGTGTTGACCGTGCGGCGCTTCTGCGCGAGGTACGCCTGCACCTGCCTGGGCTCGCCCCATATGCCGAGTGGTGTTATGGGCAACACTCGAGGCTGCTGTTTCAAGGCCACGCGCTTAGCTCTGAGGCTGGGGTGCAACAGGGTGACCCTTTGGAGCCCTTGCTCTTTTCACTTGCCCTTCAACCTGCGCTGCGGGCTTGTGCCGGAATCCCAGCAACCGGACCTTGGCTTCGCCTTCCTCGACGACGTGTGCCTCGCGGGGAGCATCCCTCAGGTCAGTGCTGCCCTCGCCCGCCTTGCAGCTCGGCAAGTTGGCCTGGCCCTGAACCCCTCCAAGTGCGAGCTTACTTTGTGCAGCGAGGACGGCCTGTGTGACCCCCGTCTCTTTCCTGAAGGAGTGGTGGTAAACCGCACGGGTGCCTTCACACTCCTTGGCGCTGCTGTCGGTAACGCGAGCTACTGTGAGGCTCATGCTTTGTCCAAGCGAGTCACGGCCAACAAGCCGCTGCTGCAGGCCATCGCTGCCCTGCCCAACCCGCAAACAGGCCTACTCTTGTTGCGGGAGTGCGCCTCCTTCGGCCGTCCTGTACAGCAGAAATGACTCCCCCAGCGCTGCACGTCCAGGCCCTTGGGGCCTTTGACTCTGAGACGCGCGTGTGCTTGGACTCCATGTGTACGGGCCTCCTGGCAGCTGGGGCCTGGACGCAAGCATGCCTATCCACCAACAATGGGGGCTTGGGCCAGCCTCGCAGCCTACACTGCCTCTATCATTGCAACCGCCGAGCTGACGCCCCGTTGACTGCGTTCAACAGTGAGGTTCACTGCCGACCGTGTCCCGGTGCCACTGCCACCCAACCTGAAACAGCAGCCGCCGTCGCAGGCGTTGGACCAGGCCATGCTGAAGCAGTTTGACTCTCCCGGCGAAGGCCGTGCAGCTTTCCGCGCAGACCTGCAACTTCTCTAGCAGCCACGGGCTGGCGCTTGGCTGCATGCGCCCCCTACTGAGGCTTTGGGCTTGCGTGTTGCCCCCGCGTATGCGGCTTTGGCTGCCCGTCGCCCATGCTGACACTGCCTGCCCCTTGTGTGACGCTGTCAACGACCGCGTGGCCGACCATGCTAGGAGCTGCCCTTTCAAAAGACCGCACAAAGCGGCGCAACAGGCTCCTGTCAGTCCTGGCTGCCAGAGTCCAGCAGCTGGCCTCAACCCGGAAGTTGAGAAGGCTGGCCTCCTCCCGCCTAGGCCTGATGAGGCTGGCGCCCCTGAAGATGGTCAGCGCAATGCTGGCCTGCGCCGCCCTGCTGATGTCGGTTGGGAACTGGTCCATGGCGCCGCGGCCTTTGATCTGGCTGTGACCGCAGGGAGCAGCACAGCTGCAATGAAGGGAAACGGGCTCATCAGCACACAGCCGCGCAGTGCCAGGCTGCTGGCCTCCAGTTCGTGCCCCTGGTTGCCGAGGGCATTGGCGGGGGCTGGGGCCCCGCAGCCATGAAAGCCTGGGGCGAGCTCGCGCAGGCCCTTGGGGCTAAAAGCGGGGATGGTGCTGCTGTTGAGGGCGAGCCCCTCTTCCAAGCCCTTGCCATCACGCTGCAGCGCGAAAACGCACGCGCTGTGCTGCGCCGGGCGGGGTTAGCCACAGAGTCGGCGCCCGGTTTCCTCGACCCCTGGGCGTCGGTCCACCAAGCCATTGGGGAGGGACGGGTCCTTCGCGGTCCCTTCCTAGAGCTTGCGTGCGTATGACAAGACGTTCGTCGTTGAAC